TGGATCATCTCATCTCTTGGAAAGAAAGTGTAGATGTCAAAAAGTCTCTTTCAGTTTATTTTATGTATAGTAGCAAGGGAAAAGTTTGAATGTTTCTGCATTTTAGTCTGCTACACTCTCATCAGTATTGTACACCACTTGTCTGCTTTAGGCTTGGCAGCAAAGACATAAACAGGCATACCTGGCAGGGATCATGTTTCTGCACATCTTTCCATAACAAAAATATCCTGTGGGCAGATAAATCCTCACTGTACAAGTTTTAAAAAAATTGTCTTCTTCCCGTATTTTGACTATGTTCATGGTATTGCTGCTTGTAGGTGTCTTTTAGTTTTATAACTATTAGCTCTACGTCTGCAGAAAGTTCTATTGTGGTCCTCGGTCCTGTTTCTGACTCTTGGCTACACCTGTTTCTGTGTGCTGTTTATAAAAAATAACACCGCTGAGTGTTCAGACATGCAATACCTGCATATTCAGTGCATTTTAGAAATATTCACAGTTGATTGAAACTTGCATTTAATAACTTTGGCATTGCTGTGGCTGCTGACAGTTTTTACAAGGAATACTGGGGAGTACTGTTTTTTTTTTTTTTTTTAGAGAGAGATTTGTGATTTTTAAATTGGCCTGGGTTATAAAACAGTAGCGATCTGTCCGGCAGCAGACAGCTAATCAAAAGCAATAAGAAAACAGTTTCATAGAATGTTCGATAGTTTTACCTGAACGATGCAAACCACCATGAAAGCTTGTTTTATGTTTCATTTAGTCTTGTTTGCTTTTATTTATCATTCTTGTGCTAGCATTAAATGCATTACTTTAGTAAATAGGCTAACATGCTTCATAAAACGTAGAGAGGATCAATTCTAAACAATCCATTTTCTCCTTGTTTTTTAAAAATGGTAATTAAAAATAATCAATAATGACCAAAATCAACTGAAAGGAAACATTTTATTGAGTTATTTTTTAGCTATGTTTCCCGGCTCTGTTCTCAGTGACACTCCCCTGATTTGAATGGCTTTGTGACTGCAGGTAGTAAGCTCCTTTGATGGGTGACAGCTTTTTAATAGCACCCTTTCACTGGACTGGACATCTGCCATTACTCTGCTGTGTCCTTATATTATTGTTACTTGTTGTGCTCGTAACGCCTTCAGGGTTTAACACACTTACCCTGTCAGGGATGCCTCCTAAGCAGCGACATGGTGCATGAGCGCACTACTGCACAGCCTGCCTCTCGCCCGCGGGACGATTCATGCACCAGATAGCCAACTTCACGCGCCGAGGTTCATCTAAATGTCTGTAAAACCCGAGCAATATCTCTTGAGCCAATTATTGTGTAAAGTGTTTCCAATAGGCGCTCTCACAGGGCCTCTGTTCCTGTGATGTGTGAACACTGATGCAACACTGAGCAGCTTCTGTCAAATTCTGCCAGTTCTTTTTAATCATTGATTTAAAAGTGCTCTCATAACAGAGGCACAGAGGCTATTACGTTTTATGGTGTATCACAAGTTTTCTATCTTGCCTCCATCACACAGAGACACACTTGAGGCATTGTTTCTCAGCATACATTTGTTGTTATGCCTGTAGATTAACTACTGCAGGCTCACTGCACAATGTTGCATCATGTGGTGAAATTCATGTTGCTCTTCGATGAGGCAGTTGACTCCATGACTTGTGTGCTATAATATGTTATCGATGCCAATCAAGAGTTACAAACACCAAGTTGCTTTAAATTTTTTGTATTTGCTGGCCATAGTTTACCAACTTCCTCCTGTTGCTTTATTGTGACATCTTTCAGATAAAACAGCCAATTTGTGTAACGAATGCTCTGATCTAATAGAAGGGTTTTCCACAGTCTGACACTTGACAGACATTTGCTTCTGTTGAGATAAACCGCCGGTCTTTTTCCTTGTGGACAACACTATTAATGTAGGTGTGCACCAAATAGCCCAGTGCGGTATAACATTTGACAGTTTTAGAAAGGATATCGGAGGAGTTGTGTTATTCATTTGGTTTCATTTAGTTTCTGTTCTCTCGGAGACTGACTACCACATATTTTCCCTCCCTAAACTACTTCCAGACCTCTAACGTTGTTGACAGCAAAAGAAGAAGATGCTGGGAACTGGGAACGTAATGGGGACTGAGTTGTTCTTGTGTGTTTGCTTTTGTAAATCTTAAGGTCCTCTCTTATCTTCCTCTTTCATCCTGGACCAACCCTTATGTTGGATTTATTAGTACATATCGATTATACTCATTTTGTCTTTTGCGAAAGAAGGAAATATAGATACACATTCAGAACTGAGGGATATGATTTGGTAGAAATTCACAGCGCACTTGAATTTTCTTTTAAAAAAGCTTGATACCTTAAGGCTTTAGTAACTTTACCAGAAGCTGGTCATCATTGTTGATGGAGTAATAGGCAGCAGCAGCAGCAGCAGCAGAGGTAGAGCCAGCGGAGGAACAGGTCACCTGCTCCTCCTCCTGCTGCCCCTGGAAGTGTGTCAGCTCCTCCAGGTTGGACTGTAATTAGTACAGAGTCATACATCCCAAGGGCCTTTCTCTTCCCTTCTTCCCCACCTCTGTCCCTTCTCTTTCCTATTAAATCAGACCTCTTTGGAACACTGCAGCAACCTGCTCAGACACAGAAGGTTCTTCTTTTAGAACTCCACCCGGGATCTACTGGCTCCAATTTAAAGAGTTTATCTGAGGTGGTCAGCCATTGCCCAGTTACTCTGTCATCCCTTCTGTGTGGACTACGGTGGATAGAGTCACGTTCTTAACTAAGCTTAAGAGATTTTATGGGGCTTTTTGGAGGCTATGTATATTTTTGAAAAGTATGAAAAAGTCATTTCATCATATTTGTCTTTTAGTCACCAGAGTTGTTGACATGTGCAAATTGCTTCAGAGCTTTTAAATCTTCCCAGCTTTGCATATTTATTATTTGTCAAATCAAAAATTGACTTACACTTTAAATTTATAACTTTTAACATGTTTCTGATTTTTCTGTATTCTCAAAAACCCTGCCTTCACCTGTTTTCTCCTTTCCCCTTTGTGTTCCAGGTGGTGGCGTATCATTATTGCCAGGCAGACAACACATACACTTGCTTGGTACCAGAGTTTGTACATAGTATCGCAGCCCTGCTGTGCAGAGCACATCAACTCAGTGCATACCGAGAGCTGCTGCTGAAAGAACCCCACCTCCAGAGCATGCTCAGTCTGCGCTCCTGTGTCCAGGACCCTATGGCTGCTTTCCGGAGGGGAGTCCTGGAGCCATTAGCCAACCTTCGTAAAGGTAACACACTGTAGTTTTATATTCCAGTATTTCATTTGTGTAGACTTCTTTGGTTGCGTCCCAAATGGCTCACTTACTGTTCTATTCTGTCCCAGCTGCATACTACTCCAGAGAACATAAACTGTACTCGTTAGTAAGTTCTAGTTGGTAGTTTTGAAGGCCTCTGAAAACCCTGCAGGTGGAAAATCTCCCTGGAAACATGAATATTGTTACATAGATAACCTTCACAGGATGTGATATTGATGCCTCAGTTGGTACAGATTTGATAATCCGATCAGAGAACAGGCTTAGAAGTTGGCAGTTTTGATCTCTGCTTCTCTCACATACCACACCTCTCTGCACTGTCCTCTTTCTAAGTACTCTCCTCCAGTTCTGGAAGTGTTGATTCATGTTTATGTGTCCTCAAGCAAGGGACTGAATGCCAAGTTTCTGTGGACAAAAAGGACACTCAAGTTTGTCAACGTTACAGGAATGCCAAACAGGACTTCCATGCTTGCCAAATACCAGTACCATTTTTATTTTTGCTTAATTTCACAGAGGACCCCAACCAGCTGCCACTGAAAGTATTAACAGTTTTTTTTACAGAGCAAATGTAGCTTGACATTTCATTGGGGAGTGAAGGGGAGCAGTAGCTCTGTAACTGATGAATCTAGGCAACGTCCCTTACCATTCACTCCCACCACATGTTTCAGAGAGTCAGGTTTAGTTACTGCAGTGAAAAAAGTCTTCTCTGCACTCTCACCACAGAGTATTTTGGTTGAAGTAATACTGCTGTGAGTTGTACCTCACTGCACGTTGTCTTATCGTTGGTGGTTTTTATCTGTGTGTTTGCAGAGCGGAGAATTCCAGAGGAGGACCACATTATCTTGATAGATGGGCTGAATGAAGCAGAGTTCCATAAGCCTGACTACGGAGACACCATCGCTTCCTTCATCACTAAGATCATTACCAAGTTCCCCTCCTGGCTCAAACTGGTGGTCACTGTCCGGGTAAACTTGCTGGTAAGGAAGAAATCATTACTAAAAAACTTTTGTAATCTTGCCAGATACACATTTTCTGGGAAATTTCTGAATATTCACCATCTGTTAAACACAAAAAAACCCAAGCTACTTGTGTTAAGGCAGAGTTATAATCAGGTCTTGGAGTAGTTAAGCTTAATTTCAAAATCCAGTTGGAAATTGTAGCAGAGCTCGAGTTGGATCTGCTGCCACTTTTTCCAGATGTTCACTAACTGACATCAGCTGCTGTAAATTTTGACAAGTGTGAAAGTTGAAAAGGTTTTTTCCTGAGCTGCTCCTGCTTGTCATATTCTACTCGCTACAGAGTCGAGCATATCCAGGAACATTCAAGAAAGAATTGACACGCAGTGACCCAGGAATCAAGACTGCATGGCAGGAATGAGCAGTCAATCACTTTGAGCTGGCCAGCTTGGTGACACAGGGTTGCCCAGTTACAGAGATGTTCTGGGCCTGTGTTGAACTCACGCTGGCTGAGGCTTTGACATGCCTGATGAGCCACACGACAACTGATTTTCTTTGCTGGGATGAAGCGCTGAGCCTGGGATAATAATGTTGTTGCTGAGTGACGTCCAGAATTTATGTTATTAATGCTGAGGCAGAAGCCAGGCCTTGAGTACTGTCCATCAGTATGCACTGCACTATAAAGCAAGTTTAGTCTGTTTGTTTTGATCCTGCAACTGTGAGCCATTTCTAATTCAGTTCATGGCGAGATCTGTCAGTGTGGTAAATCAATATAAGCTAACGGGGATATTTTATATTCACCTCTTATACACTTTTATTAATTCATCACGATCAAGTTATGATGTGGAAAGATTGTGTTGGATATACTAGTTGACTGCACTCAGCGCACTTAGTTGAAAACATTTCTGTGAAAAAAACTGTACACAAGCGACCATACTGTTTACATTGGATTCCTGAATGCTCATGCTGGTGCTCCTACACTTAAATCACCCGATGCTGTCTGCCACAGTGCCGTTACATTCATTACTGCAGACAGCTATTGCACTCAGCACTCTAAATTATATGAAAAGCTTGGATGAGCATCGCTGGTATCTAGAAGGCAACAGTGTCTTCATTTATAAGGTCTTGCTCTCTGAGCTTCTAAGAACTGAGGAAGACTGGTTTGCTGCACTTTCCACCTTACTGCAGGGACAAGCTGCAGCACAGCTTGAGGTTACGGACACTAATTCCTCGACTTTAAGGCTTTACTGGCTCATATTTCGAATAATATGTGTGATTGTTTTAATTAGTGCGGCTATGTGCGTATGTGTGATCTGTGTACATCTAATTTGCTCTCAGGTCTGTTGCGAAAGAGATCTTGATCTCAGTGAAAGCTTATCTATTACATTGGCTTTCTAACTTGAGGCATACATAAAAGAAGAAATCATCCATATGGCAGTTGTGAAGACAGATAATACTCTTTTTACAGATGAAGCCATGAGAATACTTCCTTTTTGCAATCACAAAACCATAGTAGTCCACAGAAGTGGCATGGAAGTGTCATGTTGTTTTGTTCCTTGACCTAACAAATAGGATCTCACCTTGGAGAAAGGGTTCAGAACATTGGCCTTTGCCTGCCAGACTAATATGTGGCATATCTGTGAGGTGTGACTTGCACTTCACCCATCTTGTGGATTATGATCCACACATTTCATTGAGTCTGTGCATGTGCGGATACATGTTTGTCTGAATGTGTCTGTAGCTTGTCATGATGAGGAAGAGAGAAGTGTTATCTCGCTGAGGCAATGTTTCTGTAGCCTCAGCCCGGCAGAGGATTGGAGGATTAAGGTGCATTGATTTCTCCAACCCCCAGGACATAGATTGAAATGTAAGCTCTGGCTCAGACCTCCGCTTGCCTGCTAGCCACCATCCCATCCATCCCCTGCCTCTTAATACTCACTTTCCCAGTCCTGTTTTCCTCTTAGCCACATTTCCAACAGTAACAAGTGTCTGCTTTGGCCTGATAGCTTAGTGTGCTCGGTTCCCTACTGTTCAAAGAAGCTCCTCTGATAATAAACACACACAAGCAGATATCTTTTTTAAATAGAAGCTCAGGATGTGAAGAATGTTTTTCTCCATAATGCTTCTATTTGTCTGCTGTGGTATTAAGGAAAACAATTTGTATTGCAGAAACTAAGTAAAATATTACTTATTGGGTTTCAGATTTTTTTTTAGGTACATTCTGCCAATAATGTCGACAGCTTTGCAACAAGAAGGAAATTAAGCAGCTCAAGTTTTTATATGTCACTGACCACCTTTACCTTTTCTTCCATAGGAGATCACCAGCCTTTTGCCCTTCTCGAAGATCTCCCTGGATGACTTTTCCGACAACAAAGAGATAAGCAATGACCTCAATGCATACATCCAGTACCGTATCAATGGCAGCAAAGACATCATGAACAATATAAGCCTAAATGGCAAGGCCGATCCTCTCACCGTTGGCAAGCTCAGTAGCCACCTGATCTCACGCAGCCAGGGCTCCTACCTGTATCTCAAACTCACCCTGGATCTGTTCGAGAGGGGCCACCTGGTGATCAAAAGTGCGAGCTACAAAGTCGTGCCCGTTTCCCTGGCTGAACTGTACCAGTTACAGTGCAACATGAAATTTATGACCAATTCGGCCTTTGAGCGCTCACTGCCCATCCTCAATGTTGCACTTGCTTCACTGCACCCTCTGACTGATGAGCAGCTGTTCCAGGCCATCAACGCCGGCTTCATCCAAGGGGAGCTGCCATGGGAGGACTTTCAACAACGCATGGAGCTGCTCTCGTGCTTCCTCATCAAACGGCGGGACAAGACACGCATGTTTTGCCACCCCTCCTTCAGAGAGTGGCTGGTGTGGAGAGCCGATGGAGAGAGTACGGACTTCCTCTGTGACCCCAGGTCAGTCGTCTGCTTTGTAAGCAAATGCAATAACTCAGTAGCTCTCCTTCAGGAATGTGGGCTTCTATTACAGTGTTTAGAAAATATTCTTGCAATGCATCACAAATAGACTTCAAACAATCTGCAGGAGAGTGCAAATTAAGAACTGATGACAATAACATGACAGTAGTTAAAGTAATGCTACCAAAGAATGTCCTAACTTTAATTTGGAGTGTTGCTGGGAGAAATGCTTGAGATTTATCCCTTTTAGTGAAAACAATAGACACAGCAGAATGTACAAACAAATTAGATTTTTATTGCATGAACTTCTTACATCTCAGCGTAGTTCTGAATTTAACTGTGTGTGCTGTTTGAATCATGGCTGCTATTGTGCATATAAAGTATGCTAACATAAATGAGTGTGTGTGTGTGTTGAGGGTAAGTAGAATGCTCTAATCAATAAATACAGCGTGACTCATTTCTGAGCCAGAGATGGGAATTGAGTTTGAGATGTTCCAGGTATTTATTGCAACCATAACAACCCTCTATTTGTAATGCAGTTCTTAATGTACTGTATAGCTGCTTGTCAATTTATTACGGCTACAGAACAATTTACAGAGACGTCACTGACACACACTACGTTGTGCCGCTGTGAACGGTCTACTTAAAAAATGTATAATGACGTGTGGTTGGATTTAAAGATCAATGTATAAATTAAAAATCATAATTCCATTAGCATGTGCTCTTAATAGTGTTTACAGTACATGCAGTGTGACTCAGACCTCAAGAAACAAGTTGTTTGTTTTTTAACTATGAATAATTTACTATTGGAAAATGTTAGTCTAAACATTTACATAATGCATGCTATTGTAAGAATCTTTTGTGTATTCCAGCTATAATTGCGTCCTGTCGTGCTCTTCTTGCCCTCTGAAACAGGTTTATCTGCATCAGTAGTGCTGCCTCATTGTAATTCTGGAGCCGCAAATATATTAGAGATTTCAGTCATTCACACTTAATAAGTTGAATGATGTCACTTTGACTTGCTTTATTCCCTCCCTGTTGCTCACCTCTGCTCACACAATGATGACTGTAAATGGACCAGAGCTGAGCTTCATATTCTGGTCATTCACAGCCTTCCAACTCCATCATTAAAAAAACAAAGGCTCGTAGTCTGGCTCAGGAGATGCACATGCAGACAAAAGCTTGCTGCAGTGCCTCTCTGTTTGTGCCTGGGCACAAATGGAGAGAATTTTAACCAGATCAAAGTGATCTGCAATCATGCATGCGCTTTTAATGAAGTTCTGCATTAATTAGTGCCAGAGTGCCACAGTGAAGGATAGGAGAACCCAGGGGTTTTACACTCGTCTTCATCCTTCAGTGGGGCATTGCCCAGCAATTTTTTAGCTTATTCACACGAGGACAGAATGAAATAGTTGTCCAGGACAATGTCAAGCTGCTCTTCATCACCAGAATAATTAAGTACTTTCTTGATTTATGAGGTAAATGAACAGTCATTTGTGGCCTTGACAGCTGAGTATCTGTTCTGTTGTTTTTAACCCAGGACCGGCCATGCTCTCATGGCTTTTATGTTGTCCCGCCAAGAGGGGAAACTAAATCGTCAGCAGACAATGGAGCTGGGACACCACATCCTCAAAGCACACATCTTCAAGGTACATCTATGGAACCTACACGCTCTACACATTAATCCTCATTTGAAATCCACCCTTTGCAGGAATTTCCTGTTGTTCACTTTGTACTTATGTAAAAGCTTATCTTCTGGCTGCCCACTGTCACAATGGGTAACCGGAAGATAAGCCACGAGATGTGGAGAGAAACATTGACAGCTTGCGCAGCTCAGGTTCACTGATGTTATTTATGCGTGTTTGTGTATTCATATATGCATTTGTGTGTGTGCAGGGCCTGAGTAAGAAAACAGGTGTGTCATCCAGCGTGCTGCAGGCTTTGTGGATTAGCTGCAGTGCCGATGGCCTTTCTGCAGCCTTGGCCTCCCTTAGAAATCTCTACACACCCAACGTCAAGGTAGCGATGTTCTCTGTGTCTCCTCCAGCTTTTGTGTGTCACATAGTTGTGAAGCAATTGGCCCAATAGCTGATTAGACGATAAAATTGTAAAATAATTCATGAAACGCCGCGGATTTGTTGGTACGAGCTTCTCAAATGCAAAGGCTTGCTTTTTCAATTTTCAACTTAAATAGTCGGTCGTGGCTTCTCGTTGTTCCCTCACTGTTTTATTAGTTTTGTATATGTATCCTTGCGTTCATATAGCATTTACATAACATTTCTTATTGCTTGATATCATTTACATAAAGTGAGTGACTTTTTTCCAGACTGGTGTAGTCAGTCCCCTGTTACACACAATGAATAGCCAATTATCTACCAGATATTGCTCAGACATTTTCATTTTAATATAAGCAACATGGAAAATTAAAAACATTTAGAGGAAATTGGGAAGTAGATAACTGATGACATGTGGGGGACCAGGAAGAAGAAAATCGGAACTGCGAATTCAAAGGTCAATGCAAGATAAATGAAGGACAGAAAGTCATACCGAAATTAACTTTTTAACTCTAAACATAATTTCTAATCTGGCTGCATTATTTGTTGAGATATTCAGCTACACTTTTGACCCCTCGCTGTTAATTTGTTGCTTCCGCAGCTCCATGCAACGAAGGCTTTGTAATTATCAGCGGTCCTTTTATATCACTAATTTGACGAATGCTAATTTTAGTAGTAGAGCTTATTAAACTTCCAACATAAGACAACTGCCTATGAACCACCTTCTAGTTGTGTTTTGAGGAGACATAATCATTGGCTTTTTCCTGGAAAGGCTATCATGTCAAAATGATGTATTCTGCCTTGAAGCGAAATTATCCTCCGTTTTTCTTTGCCATTAGCGTTATTGTTTCAGCGGGGCTCCATCACTTGTTGTCTATTTGCGAGTTATTGCGTATACGTGTAAAATCACTCAAAGAGACATTTACAGAATGACCTTGCTCTGTCCTCACTGTTAATTTGTTCTACTGAGGAGCCAACAAATACCACACAATTTCATCACTCGTTGTTGCATACTCATTTGGTTCTGTTTGACTGAGCGTTTATTATTGATTTTCTCATCATGGGAGAGAATAACACACGTAGTAATTGCATTCACTACATTGTGACCACTTTATTTGGTGTGTGACCTTTGCTTGGGAAAAAAAATTTCAAGACTCGCCTGAGGCAGAACGAGCATCACTATGAGCCATGAAGTGAGTTACAGGCGGATAATTCTGCCGCTGTTGAAATTAATCAGTGATATATATACGGTAGCATCAACAAAACCTTGAGACATAACAGCCAAAGATTTAATATCTTAAGAGAAATCCTGAGTGCATAAAGATTCATGCGGTTGAAAATGATTTTGGCAATTACATTCATGTTTGATTCATTTAAAGGAAATATTAACTGAAATATTTTAGTCATTTACATAAGAGAGCTTCTGAATGCAATAAAAAATAGAATTGTGTGCAGGTAATACAAGCGCACAGATGGTAATACTTTCATAAAACTGTTCCAACGCCACCTGTCTGTGTTTCCATTTCCATTTGTTTAATCAGGTAAGCCGTCTGTTGATGCTGGGAGGAGCAAACGTGAATTACCGCACAGAAGTCCTGAACAACGCGCCGGTGCTTTGCGTCCAGTGTCACCTTGGTCATCAGGAAATTGCCTCGTTGCTGCTCGAGTTTGGCGCCAGTGTAGATGTTGTGTCCGAAAATGGGATGAACCCGCTGTGCTTCTCAGCAGCTGCAGGACACCTGGGACTAGTCATGCTGCTCTGCAAGAGGGGGGCCAAGGTGAGGAGTTTGCTATTGTAACTCTATCGCTGTAACTATCTTCCTTGTGAACATACAGAGTAAATTTCCAGCCATGGCTGCTTGCCAAGATAGATTTCTATCTGCTGTACTGATGCAGCACATTTACTTCTGTTTTCTGTGCATTAAACCCAAGAATCTTGTATCCCTGCCAGGTTGACCATGTAGATAAGAGTGGCCAGTGTGCTCTGATCCATGCCGCACTACGAGGACACCCTGAGATTATTCAGTTTCTGCTGGAGCTAGAATGGAGTGCTGAGGGGCAGCAGCAGGACTGCTCTCTGAAGAACAAAGCTCTGCAGCAGGCTTTGATTGCAGCCTCAAGCATGGGACACACACAGGTTGGATACACACACACACACACACACTCACACATATATACATATTTTACTTGGCACACCCTAAAAGCCGCTGCATTCATAAAAACAATTAATGAACCTGAGGATTTTATTAAAACAACAACAACAACAACCTTAGATGAGTTTTTTTTAAGTCCCTTTTTTGTATTTGAAAGAAAAAGATGTCTATTGACCCACACATACAAAACACATTTTGTGTATTGCAGAGATTCCATTCCACATTGACGTTTCACAACAACCTTCTCCACAAATATTCCAGTTTATGAAGAGCAGAGGGAACTACAGATAAAATCTGAGCACATCGTGTTCTCGACGATGACTTCAAGTCTAAGGTGCTTTTTAGCAGCACACGTCTGATTGCAGGATTCGGGGATCAATCGCAGTGCAGTGCCTTTAGCTGCCCAGGTGTGATGTAGAGTCGGGGTTTATTTTGGCTTCCTCATTAGCTGGAATGGGATCGCGAGGCCTGGCTTCGAATAACAGAACTGGGCCAAGCTAAGCTGTCAACCTGCATGTAGAACGAGACCCTGTTAAAGTTCAGCTATTAATCAGATTGGACTCAACTCATATAACCCCACATAGCGAGTCAGGGTCTAGAAGTCCTCTGCTTTACTGTGATTAATTCATAATCATTTGCCTGGGTCCAAGTATCTCATTTTTTGTCGTTATTCTTCTTTAAATTTGCATTTTGTATACAGTAACCTCTGGAAGGTTTATTTGATATCTTATGCTGAAGCGGTACGTCATTAATCTCAGTTTATTTTTGGCAGGTTGTGAGGGGCTTGCTGGCGTTGAATAATGACCATGCTGTGCAAATTGATAGTCATGACACTCTGTGGGGAGAGACAGGTATGTTCTCATCAATCTTTTTGCATTACATGACTCCTTTGTATTATCGCCTGCTGTTTTAGCATTCTGGACCACACCGTTGTAATTGAATGCTGCAGTGGAAAGTCCTGTATCTTTGCTCTGCACAGCGATGCTCTTTGCTGGATGCAGAGGTCACTCAGCCCAAATGTGTGTGCATGTTTTTATGTAAGTTCTCTTGTTCTGTACTTTCTGGTAAAAGCATTACATATTGTTGTCATGTGGGATTGCAATCACAGGTTGGTCAGCACAGCATTTCCTTTGAGCTGTTGCCGCTGGATTTCAGCAACAGTATTCCCCTGGTGCTTATATGTTAAGACACTACCAGCAGTTTGGGCTCCAGCGTCTGCTTTATACATTTCTAGTTACTTTCAGGTGTACTGAAAAATAACTTTTTAACCATGTGTTTCACTTAAATTTTTAGCAAATGCTGGTAGCTGGTGATAAGCTCGTTATCTGGGAAGGTTTTGTTGACAATTTGAAAGGTTGAGCTTCTGCCTGATCAACCCTCTGAACCCCCATTTGTTTTTTGCACCTGTAACATTTTTACTCACTGTGGGCTCTTTTTTTTGTCATTGCAATATGAAGTCCCGCACCTCTATGAAAACAGCGCAACCGTGGCTAGAAGTAGAGAGAACTTAAACATGTCTTCTGTGCAGTATGACACATATATTAAGAAAAAGTTGATTCTTTTCATTATATATTTTACAAAAATTGGAAAAACTTCGGGGGCTGCAAGGTGGCTTGGTGGTTAGCACCGTTGCCTTGCAGCTAGGAGGTTGCCGGTTCACGTCTCAGTGAGGACACTTGGGATCTTTATGGAGTTTGCATGTTCTCCCCGTGCAGCGTGGGTTCTCTCCAGGTCCTCCAGCTTCCTCCAACAAGGTCCAAAAACATGCTGAGCTTAATTGGTGATTCTAAATTGTCCGTAGGTGTGAATGTG